TAGAGCGGATTTCGTATGAGTGGGAAACGGACGGTACTGTACTGTGACCGTAATCGTACTGTAACCAAATTCTAGTGCCCCATTGTTTCACCAAAATTCTGCAGGCCAGGTGCGGTAACTGTGCGGTAACCGTGCGGTAACGGTGTCCCACTCATACGAAATCCGCTCTAGTAAGCCAGTCATTGAATCAGAGAACGATTTAAACAGTCATGATCAGTCAGAAAGCTAGTCCAAATTAGTCCATCCTTAATTTAAGAGACGTTTGAATGGTATAACATTGCTATTATATTTGAATAGAGTACCATACCGAGCTATGCTGAAGAGATATACGAGTATTAATTGGCTTGCTTTGATAAGTCTGGAATAAACCAATCAGCTGATAGATTCCAGCACCAAATGCCCCAAGAAATGCCAGCATCCAGATGATACGAAAAAATAGATAACTGGAACCAACAACTCGTCCCAGCCCTCCCCACGAGGTATCCTCACAGAAATCTTTTAAAATCGTCAGAGCTGTCTCTTCTTCATCCTCTCCCTGGTTATCTTCTCGTTCGCGTTTCCATGACGCCCGGCGAGACATTTTCTATGATTTTACCTGTTCAAATCAAACCGCAAACAAACGTTTTACACATTGCAGGCGTCATACTGCCATGAATTCTGTTTTGTTTTGCTTTGTTGTTTTTGCTTGTTTTTGCTTGTTTTTTGTTGTCATTGTTGTTGTTTTTATCGATAACAAATTAAGGGATGGTGTTTTCAGGGCGTAGCTTTGTGACAGTCCTACCAATAGAGCATAGAATAAAATGAAATAAAAAAAAGAAAACGGAGTCTCAAGAGAGCGGTGAAACAATCACTTTAGCATGAAATTCCATCAAGATCTTTAAGTGGATGCATAAACATTTTCACGAAACTTTCACTAGCATTTTAAAGAAACATGTATTGATTTTTTTGGAAATTTTTATATTATGATGAGGCATGGTGAGCTTAGCAATGATTAAAATATTTTTTTTCAGTTTCCCCTTCAGTCCCCGACTCCCCTCATCTTCGATTACACGAAGCGCATACGAATACATGTGTATTCGATACACAAAGCACAGGTGGCTCAAGCACTGGACTCGGCTGGCTTTTAACTGTTCAATGAGAAAACGAAAAGTTCAATAAAAGCGATAAAACTTAAAAAATTATTTCAAACTATTTTCTCAACACACCTGTGAAGTTTCAGCGCATTATGGTAAAATTTTAACATATTATGACAAGCCTGACAAGTCCAGTGCTTGGGCTACCTGTGCCCTCAAAGGATAAGTCAACAGAGCATGCGCTTTTTATGTTATGACGTAATATAGGTATTGCGGTACCAGGGACATCACATATCCGGCGACACATCTGATACAAAAATGTCTACTCTAGAGATCGTATGTAGAAATCTCCTGAAACACGGCGTGGAGAAAAAGCACAGTGGTCATGTATGGACACTAGATGTACTCGAATAATATAAAAATTAGGTAACACCTACTGTAATAGCGGAGCTCCAATAGCAACATAGAAGTTGAAAATGATTATCTAGTAGTATCCGTTGGATAAAGCTTAATATAATAATCTGTAAAGGTCAATTGATTTAAAGTAAACTGAAAGCTTCTCGGCAAAATGTAGTATACATAACTTTACAATAATCAACATTGTTTCAATAATCGATATTTGAACCCGGATTTCTCGAACTTCACATATCACAGAAAACTGTTCTTTCTTGTTGTCGAAATATCAAAGTAAAATCCTTTTTCTTATATCACTTTTAAGATGGGCCTAAATACGCTCGAAATAAATTGCTTTTCATCTTCGCAAATCGATTTCCCGGATGTGCGGACGCGTCGAAGTTATGACAAAATTGGCGGGAATATTTCTGTACTGTTATTTCGCTCTTCTGTGGATTTTTTTCTTGTGATTAATTCTTCTAATATTATCAATATGGAATATAAATGTGTAAGGAAAAAAATTCGATTTTTCAACAAATGTTTGGCGGTTTTTTTTTCCTTTTCGAGCGGAGTATGGGTTTCCTGTGGTGGTACACGCACTCCAGGAAGGACGGAGGACGGACGGACGGACGGAAGGAAATGTGCGTACGCGCGGGAACCCTGTGTCGTTCCATGGAAAATCGACTCGATGGTATACCATTTTTTCTTAGCTATGGTGCTCCGCTCGCGCTAGAAACATGTGTGGACTCTGGACTCGTGTGATAGTGACTAAGTGCATTAGTGAGGATTATGAATGAAACCCCTACACACCTCCAAGAATTAAATTCCAATTTAACATTAAAATATTGTGCCTGATTGATTAGGGAAAACAAATTTGACCACAAATAGGCTCATAACTGAGCTCATAATAATTACATAGCCAAATCAATAAATGCTTTTTTTTAAATTACAAAGAAAAAATAATAATTGCTCTGCAAATGCCCTGTTTTTATTGAAAAAGAGAACTCAAAAGCGGACGTAAATCAGACATTTTAATTAAACATTCGCCATTTAGACGCCCACAACATTGAAGAAATACATAAACTTTTTCAGGGTTTGAGAGGATTTTGTTCGCATCACTTTGAACAAAGAAAAGAGTTTACTCGTATGAAAAAATAAAAACTATACGGATAATACTAACATTAATTATGCTAGACTTTTTAAAGTTCTTAAATTTTAAATTTCATGATTAGGAATATATTGCGCGAATTTAAAAAAATCAAAAATTTTACTAATACGTTTTAATATCGTCCAAACTGCCTCAAAAATCGTTGGATCGGACAAGTCGAATAGGCCTTTTACATTAAACGTTCACATGGCCCTATATCCGCCATACTTGATGGCAAAAGAATGTAAACAACCTCAACAATAAAAGGAATTTAGCCCATAATTGTTTTGAACATCCCAGTGGGCATTTTGCCATGCAGTATAGCGGATTTCGTATCATGTGACCGTTTCATGCAAAAGGCCTTTTTACGGTATCGAAACTTTGAGTTCAAAACAAAATAGCTAAAAAGTTGTTAATTTTCATATGTGTTTCATGAACTTGGGTCTTCGAGATTGGATCCATGAGTCTTACGCCTACTATTAAGCTCTACTTAATCGATTAACGGATATAAATCGACGGCCTAAAGCTAATTTTGTTTAAAAACTCGTGTTCACTATTCATGTAAACTCTTATCATACAAATAGGACAGATTTTGGGAATTATTAAGGTACTCAATTGGAGTGACTCCATAATTTTATCATTGGAAAGAGCCTTGAAATCCGGATTTGTTTACTACTGATGAAAACGGATGCCAAAACGGGACAGTACTTGTAATACAACAATTGCTCTTAAATAAGGTAAAAATTATAATAATTTCGCTATTTTTACTTTGATTGAATCATTTTAAGGCCTTAAACTTGGGGAATTTTAGTCACCAAAGTAGTTGTGTTTACAGCAACTCGAAACTTAATTTACATTTCAAAGAATAAAGTAAATTCATACATTCAAACCGTCAAAACCAAATCATGTATGCATACCTGCTGAGATGAGGCCCTTCAGTGAATGTATTCCTCGTCGTTTGAGCTTAAATTGACTTTAACATCGAAGAACTTTGCCTGGTTCTCTCGGTCCTGTCAAACCACTTCAATATACGGCTGTTAAYGTCCCAAAGGAATTGACAAACAAATCTATTCAGCTTTCATAACAATAGAAGTGTGAAAAACGTGTTGATTATGCATACGTAACTTAAATTCGATTAATCGGCAGGAAAAAAGTATTGATTTGAATTAATAGTGATTCTACTATATAATTTGGTTACAATATGTATATATCATATATATATTTTAAATATATTTTGTTTGTTTGTACATATCTTTCTTTATATTCATATTTGGATAATTTAGCTTATATTGTTCTATTTAAGAAATATAAAACGGGAGGGAGTTGAAATACACGAGAGAAGCAAGCGTAGAAACACGAGCGTAGCAAAAAAAATTGTACTTTTTTCGAGCAAAAAAACAATTTTGACGGTAAGTCGTTTCTCTGTCCTCTGATATAAACACGGTCGTCAGCCAATCAGAGGGCGCGTTCACATATATCAAAAATTTTATAAGYAATGTATACGGAACAAGAGAGGGTTTTGTATCGCATGATAAAGATTCGAAGTCCAGTTCTGTATACGTCTTATCAAAAATTAAATCAGTTGGCTTCCATTTCACCCTCGAGGACATGTCGAGTCGAGGAAAGCACTATTTTTCGGGCGAGTTTTTCACAAAGTATGCCAAGGATGCCGGTTCAATTAATGCGTTTCTTAAAATGATAGTGATTGTAATGAATTTCATGGGAAATATTTTTCAATTAGTGTTGATTTATTGCTGAAAAATTGYGATCCTCTTTACATTGTTAAAAACTGCTAAATTCTACGCTTTTCAATAATGTTTTGATGTCATAGCAGTAATTGATGCAAAATAGTTGTACAAAAAAAAGGTTGACACCGTACAAAGTAGAAGAAGCAACTTATTTACGTTTCGGACGTTAGTCCTTCATCGTAAAAAGATATGCAAAATATATTAATAGTTGGTTGTAGGTTTTTGATTAATTATAATACTTTTGTATCCATCGCCTTACGCAGAATCGATGTTCTCTTCCAATCAATGCCATGTCCATGTCCTTTATAACGAATTGATCACTGGGTCCAGACGAACGCTGGTCAGATTTGTCAGAAACAATTACAACCCCMATTCAAGCCCATCAGCGCTTGTAACGATGATAAACTGGCACATTAGAGCTAATTATCAATCATTACTATTTTATAAGTTTCATAATATTTTTAATCAATTTGCCATTTCCAGAATCAATTAAGGTAATTAACAGAGTTTCTAGACTTAATTCCTGTCATACAAACAATTGCAGACTAACATTTCATCATTATTCCTTTTTCCCTCGCTCCATTAGAATCTGGAATCTATTGCCTACCAATGTAATTAGTTCACAGGATGTGTCGTCATTTAAGACYGCTGTAAAGCCTGCCATAAGGTACCAAGTTACCTTCGCAGTCTGTAATCACTACTTTTTCTTTTTCTTTGCTTTTGCTTTGCAGTTTGTTTTTTTTAGTGTTATTTACATATTATTATTATTTATCTAGTAGTATCATTTCTATTACCACTTCTATTATTTATCATCATTGTAATTTTCTTCATTCAAATTAGCTTTATTTTGTAATTGGTTTGTACCTATTTGTAATTTATTTTCATCTCCTTGTAGATTAATAAAACATTCATTAGAAGATTTTAAATGGCATTTTATTGAATTATTTTTGCGTCAACTTTTACTGTATAAAATTATTRATATGATTTAAATGCGTTTAAGGAAGAAAAAAGCTTAAAATTACCACAGCAAAAAAATGYTTATAAATATACACAAATCAAAAATTAATCATCAATAAAAATCATTAACGTGTAATTTGCATTAAAGGTCGACAGTTAGACTTCTCGCCTGGACGTAAATATCTGTTTAGACCAAAACGTACATTTGCGCAAAATGCAATTGGAAGCTCACTCAACTCCTCCATTGGCATTTCTTCCGAGAAATTGACAAGAAATCTCTCCCTGTATCTTTACTGAATTCTAGTAAGTCGCCACACCTGTTTTTGTCTCTCGTTTGTGTGGTCAAAGTCTTTGTTGGTAACMATTTTAGGTATTTCTTCTGTTGTATAGCTTGAAAAGTTTTTTGGGGTTTGGCTCTATTTCGAAAACAGCGTACATTTTTAACTGGAACGGCGAAGTTTCTTGTTTCTACTCAAATTACGTGCGCGACCCGCATTCTATAACGCGCGCTTTCATGAGCTAATAGGCTGACTATATAAGAGTTAGGAATTTTGTAGAAGTTATAATGAGGACCAAGTAAGATAGCAAAAACCTTAAAAATGTCAATACAACTTGTACCGCAAATGTCCTTGTGTTCTCCAAAGTCACTGAAAACTTGCACTTGGGCTAATTCTGTTTTTCAATGTTCTGTCATTTCGATTTATTTAGGTTAAGGTGAACCAGTAAAGAAGATTCGACAGTTCTGTCAATTCTGTCTGTTTTCAAACGTTGCAAGTTCGTTTGACTTAAAAACGGCCTTGCTCTTTGCATTTCTTATTTTCACAAGGAGGACAGCAGTTTCCATACTAATTCGACGACCTCTGCAATAGTAAGCACTGACAGTCCAATCCACATTCCCATCTGCCCTCCGATATCTGATATGAGGTCTTCAAACTGAAATGGAATACAAATAATTTACATACAATAAAAAATGACGCATCTCATAGGCATACAGTCAATYCCCTTAACGTTTTCAGACATAAAGACAGCGATCAAGTCATTTGTGAAAAATTCTTTTAAAACTCGAAGACAGAATTGCAATTCCAAAMTTTAGATAGATAGCCAATTAAATGTTATCGATATTTTTTAAGAGATTTTGGAACTTTAGGTTGAATATTTTTGCAAATAAATTAATCCTCAGAGACCTTAGCAAAAAAAAAAGAAAGTACGAGATCATATCGTTATTACAATAGCCTGGAGAATTTACATTTTCCCCGAGTTGAGGCTGACCCTGTATTCCCAAAAGGCATACGTTTTAATGTAAGCCTTCTGGGAATAACAGTAGCATCAACTCGGGGCAATGTAATTTGTTAGGCGCTATTGTACTTTTCGTACTTTTTTTGTACATTTTCTCTTTTGTTTGGTAAGTTCTTCGCGTAAGAGAATCTGCTGTCAAATAAAACAGCGGTTATTTGCTTTGAATTCAAGAATGCAGAATTGCGTACACCATATTTTAGTGTTTCCTCTACAAGAATGTAATCCATATTTCCGTAGTAAACACGAAGCTGCAGAAGATTGTCCCTAAAAAAATAAAATATCACAGGTAAATCRATATCCTATAGAAGTCAAAGTAAGSCTGGCCATGTTGGGTAGAGGGGGTGAGTTAGGGGGGCTCTGGTCCTTCATTTTTCTGAAAGATGAAAACAAAATCGCTCCAGGGGTCCCTCCCTCCCTAACTTGGATAGGGGTGTCCCGCACGACCCTCAAAACCCTTACCCTGTCCCAGACAAAAAGCAATTTTCCTCTTTTTGAGRCACAGTTTGTTTACACAAAAATCACTTACTCGATGTTTTCTTTTGTCAAAGGCAGACTTGTTTCTTTTTCAATTTTTTCCTTTAAGTAGTGCTACAGAGATAAAAAATTTAACCCCCTTTAGCCAAATTAGGTCAAAGGAATTAATTGCCAACTAATAACACGCTGTAGAGGTTGAGTTTCAGTTTAGTGATTAGCATAGGAAATATTTCATTATTTTACTTGCAAATTATCAACGTCAGAGGAGAATATGGTTTCGTATCGTATCAAATTGCGTGCTAGTACCTTTATACCAAACTGGTGGCAATGATTGTCAGTCGTTTTTAAAGCCTTATTTGACTTTTCTATACAACCCTTTAAAGGCAATAAGAGGCTGCACATTTGACCTTTTAGGAGAGGGTTATAGATGAAATTTCCTGCACAAATGGATTAAAAAAGTCCTACTCCGTTCTCTCAGCTCCCTCAACCCGACTCAGTTAGTCCCTAACATTGATACACTTGCTTTCAAATGGAAAAACTAGTATACTTGGACTATTTTTGTCCACGTCAAAATATTCTCAATGAAGCTCTGTATTACCCATAAATGTAATAACAACCATAAATGTAATACCCACCATAAATGTAATAAAAATCAACCATAAAATAAATGTAATAACAACCATAAATGTAATACCCACCATAAATGTAATAAAAATCAACCATAAATGTAATAACGATCAACCATAAATGTAATAATCGACCCCACCATAAATGTAATAACTTTTAACCATAAATGTAATATTCGAGACACCAACCATAAATGTAATACCGTTTTATAGCATTTAGCCATAAATGTAATAATCAGTTACTAAACATTTCCCTTGACTGCTGGTATTCCTCTGCCTCAACGGGATAATAGTATCATTTGTCACATGACAGTATGACGTCATAAGAGATGCGTTTTAGGAATAGGCAATATACAAAACCATTTTAATATGTAACAAAGCATTTTAATATGTAACAAAGCATGTTTTGACTATTCAGGATGTCTTCTCTAGATATATATGGCTACGACCACTTGAAAGGAAAAAGAGCTTCCATGTCGCACGGGAGTTGCGTAATTAATATCTAGAAATAGGCCCACCACGCATCWTGCAGTCAGATAACGWGGGARAGTTCAAAAAGGCAGTGCTGACTCYTTGTCGCTCYATGTCGGTTAGAATTATTAGAGGTTCTCCCTATCACCCTCAAAGCCAGGGAAAAGTTGAGYGGTCCCATCGCAGTCTCCATAAAAAGWTCCGTTTTGATTTAAACAATTTTGCAAAGACCGCGGGAATAAACTGGGTGAAAYAACTTCCAAACTACCAAAAACTCCTCAAAGACGAACCTATGRTTGTTCTGGGCAAYAATTACCCTTTTGAGGTGTTCTATTGACTTACTTCAAATGCTGTTTCTCAGCGAGTACTGAAGGGCCGATGCGATAGGGAAACCCATGCAGCAAATACCGTTGAAACAAGTTCTCAAGGAAATGATTTACAACTGTTTTCAAAAAAGAGGGAAAAAATTATAAGAAAAGCACAACAGTCAAATAACGTATGGGACAAAAGGTATATCGAGAGGAAGATGAAACACAACCCTCCTTCACAGTATGATATTGGTGAAAAGGTCTTTTTCGATATCCTTTTTCGAAAACGTCGAAAAGTCGTTCTGGCCCAAAGAAAAGATACGTGTTAAAAGGTAAAATCCTTAAAAGAAAACTAAATCTTCATAAGTATGAAGTGCAGTACATGTCTCCTATAACACACAAAAAAGAAATAAGTTGGGTATCTGTTGAAGACGTAACAGGCCTGACGAGGGAAATAGAAAGGAATAAGAAAGAAATAGCTAAGAAAAGAGCATTACGTGAAAAAGAAAAGCAAATTCGAAAGAAGAATAAAAGTACAATAGAAAGACAGACGACACAGAAGAACATTCTATATACCATTGAGAAAAGAAGACCATATTGATGAATTCTTTCTTCAAGGATATCATGTTGACTTTGATCCAATGGGCGATGGAAATTGCCAGTTTGAAGCCTTAACGCACTTATTACCTACAGTCGGAATTTTTAGGTCCATAAAAACATTGCGGGAAGAAATTGTCCGGTATCTACAACAAAATCCAAACAGTGTAGACGGTGTCCCTCTGGAGATGTTTGCTGGGATCCCCTGGGAGCAGTATCTCTCTGAGATGGGGAGAGATGGTACATATGGCGATCAATTGACTTTACAAGCTTTCGCGAATATCTTTAACATACAGTTAATCATAATATCATCACTTGGCCATGCAGGAAAAGTAGTAATTTCTCCCTGGAGCAACAACCCTATAGCTCAATTCACGCTCGGACACTTTGCTGAGACTGAAGGTACACATTATGTTTGCCTTCAACAAATGAATGGCGGAGAAATGTCAGAATGTTATGAACAGTGGAGATGATGATATGAATGTGGAGGATATAGATGGTGTTGAGAATACTGAAAGTGAAGATGGAGATGTGAATACGCAGGATGGAGATGGAGTTGTTGATACGGAGGATGGCGATGGAGTTGTTGATACGGAGAATGGAGATGGAATTGTGGATACGGAGGATGGAGATGAATATGTGAATGTGGTGGATATAGATGGTGGTGTGAATACTCAGAGTGAAGATGGTGGTGCAAATATGGAGGATGGAGATGTAGGTATGGATAGGATACAGTGGCTACGAATGGCGTTGTGAATACAGAGGGTGGAGATGGTGGTGTGTATTTGGGGGATAGACATGGTGAGAATATAGATTGTTCTGTGAATACGGAGTCTGGAGGTTGTGGTGTAAATACAGAGTGAAGGAAGTGATGCTGGCCAAGCGGAAATTGAATTTGTTCCGGATGAACGAGTGGAAAACGTCATCACAACAAACCCATCGGAGGTGCTCTCTGGCTTTGAAAAAATCCCAAACGAAATTCTGGAGAAAATTTGTTGTTTTGCCGTCCAGCTTGCATACCTTGATTTTCCTGGATCCGCGTGCCTTGTTTACCGTAGGTTGCGTGCTGTTAATTCTCGGTTCAGACGCATTACAACTGAGAGATGCAAAAACACTTTACCATGCATCTACATGCTAGGTGGGATTGCAAGTGCTATCGTCAGTGTACGCGGTCTTTTAAAGAAATTTGGACGTTCCAGTGGTCTGATTCTTAGCTTGAGGAAAATTGTCTCTGGATCCAATTGGGTAAACGCATGGCTACGGCTGGAAGATCTAGAGTATGGTTGGTTCAGGATAACTGATATTTTCTGGAGAAAATGACTTTTTTTCTGGACTTAGATCGACAAGTTTGGTGACTTTTGATAGTTTCCATGGTATGCCTAAAATTCTTTGGGTAAATTGCTKTTACAGTTTTAGAAAGTTGCTGTTCTTAGTTTAAGGAAATATAATAATACAGAAAAGTKCATGCCTTTCAACGCTGTTCAAACACGGTAACTTGTTTTTTAAAACCCAAGCCCTAACCAATTGCTTTTTTCACTCACTGTATGCTAGTAATAGAATACAGCGATTTTTGTTTTGCTGTCACTGCCCAAAACTGGCCAACTATGTTAAGGAGTGGGTTTGACCTTGACTATATTTTTGTGAACTTGGAAACATTTTCATCATAAAATATAAATTTATTCATCCAATTTTCTTCATATTGACATATTTAGCTAGTTTAGCAGCTTTTAGCACTTTTTCGTTGTTTAGGGAAAATCACGTGGTCTATGACGTCATTAAAAAGGAAAATACAAAAATACGGCCGCGAATTTTAAACAATCGCAAATGTTATGCAAGTAAATATCATTGCTTGACCAACAGAAACAAATTGCTGATTGGAAAATTGGAATGTATATTATCTTTAAGAAGATATTTGGATAAAATCTTGTCACGTGACCTATAACGGAATATCTCCCAAAGTACGAGTCAAAGGCAGGTTTTCCAAGCAGATTTGAATTCACCTTTGGGAAGCAATCCATATTCCATAAATAGAAATCTTGTTGCTTTGAAACTCGGGACCGCATTTTAAGATCTAAAACTTCTTTAAGACTCTTTTATCCTTTAAAAGGTCCCACGTGATCACGTGACTAGTTGTAAATATTTCTTTTATGATTGTCAATAAACCCTCAAAGTTTCACTAATTTTTCATTGGGTTTTGGTTCAAAAACCTGAAAAGTATATTTTCTTACAATGAACACGAGACCTTAACATACTTGAGTGAAGAGATACAATATAACTACATTACGAGCGGTACAGAAATTGAATCTTTCTTATTGGTTTGTTTAGCTCCACCTTATCTTCAATTGACAAAAGAAAGGATCTAATGTTTGTATACATATGTAACATTTCATATAGGGAAAAGAAAAAAGAAAAGAAATGAAGGAAAATAATAAAAAAGCCACTAAATATTATCAAAAATGTGTCTCCTATTCCTAAAACGCATCTCATGACGTCATACTTTCATGTGACAAATGCTACTATTATCCCGTTGAGGCAGAGGAATACCAGCAGTCAAGGGAAATGTTTAGTAACTGATTATTACATTTATGGTTAAATGCTATAAAACGGTATTACATTTATGGTTGGTCTCGAATATTACATTTATGGTTAAAAGTTATTACATTTCAATGGTGGCGTCGATTATTACATTTATGGTTGATCGTTATTACATTTATGGTTGATCGTTATTACATTTATGGTTGATCGTTATTACATTTATGGTTGTTATTACATTTATGGTTGATTTTTATTGCATTTATGGTGGGTATTACATTTATGGTTGTTATTACATTTATGGGTAATACAAGCTCTACATGTACATTTCACCTTTTCTAATAATTGAGCCCTTGTCTCCTCCAAAGCTGGCTGAACACGCAACTTATATAAGTCATACTATACCTTAAAATGATTGGCTGGCCACTTTGAATTTGATACGATGTTATCAAACGATACCTGACTAGAGAAATATTTGCAATAATAACAGGGTAACGGAAAACTAGGAAAAATGCTCATTCATTAAAATAAATAATAATCTAAAGTGTGCTGTGTTTTCCCAGCTTATCCTACGAGGATTGGATTTGATTTTAAAATAATTTTTGAACTTACAAGCAGAGTGGTGGGCAAGGTGTGTCACATATTCCAGCTAAAAACTCATCATATATCTCTTCCAAGCATTCACCTAAAAAAATTTTTTAAACAATAACCGATTATACTTGCACGCCAGCTAAGGATCGTATGNTCTTATTGCCTACAGTGAGAAGCGAGATTTGTTAGATCTAAAAGGTTATCTAAATGAACGTATTAGTACAACACCGATTGGAAAGGTGGTGGTACATGCAAATTGCCGAAGAGATTTCACGGACCAGA